ATGAGGCGCTTTTAGATTTGCCTGTGAATAATGCATGTTTCTTATTCCCACTAGGCCTTCATTTCTTCCTCCTCTCTCTCTCTCTCTTTCTACCGCATCATCCCCATTCTGCCTCTCCTGCTCTGGTTTGCTGATGTCACGGTGCGTCCCTGTCTGCGTTCATTAACATCTCTCTCATCTGTGCTTGCCCTCCCCCGGTGTCAGTCAGGCTCGGTTCAATTTGTTTCAGTTCTGTCCCGGTTATTAAATTCATTCAATTGCACTTGATACGACGGTACATTTAAACCTTCAGGTAAACTTACTTAGGTTTAGTAAAAAATTGTTTCCCTCTTCCCTGTTTGCCTCTCTCTTTGTACAATCTTCTGTTTCCAAGGTAACGGGTTGTGACTTGGGCCAACAGCTTCTCGGCCGTGTCATCGCTGGGAGTACAAAGACCCCATCGCATTTTTTACATTTCCCGATCAGTTCAAACGGCTCGACCTCGGCTCATTAATGGCGACTCATATAATCCGCCGGTCTTTTCCCTCCGAGCCACCTACACTTGTAATGGGCCGCCGGTCTTTGTCCGTCACATTTGTTTTGCTAATGTGAGATGAATGGAGAGACTCTCCGGAGATTATGATAATGCATTCACGGTCACGAAGGGAGGCCTGTTTGCTGGAGGTGGGGGCCACGTTTCATTTGTGCGTGTACGTGTCCCCTTGTCGGAGGTAAAAGTAATAAAAATGACTGGAGACATTTTGGTTATTGATTGCGGGTCCTCGTCTTCAGCAAGACACGTTCATTTACTGGGTATTCCCTGGAGAGCAAAGAGGTTGTGCCCATGTATTCATGTTGAGCTTCGTACGTGACACTATTGATGAATGGATTCAAGTCTGTTAGCTTTGAGAACCTAATGTGTCCCCTTGTCCCCATTACGTTTTGTTGGCTGCAGCCAAAGGACCCAATTAATGGCTGTGGTGTCCTTTTCTCTTTGTTGCAGGGTTTGAACCACCTCCTGGATACAGGCCGCTGCTTTAAGTCCTCCCAGGTAAATCTGATGTTGCAAACGAATATTATTTCTCTCCTTGACTACTATGTCCATTTTTTTTTTGTCTGATCGCAAATCACACCCAGTCCTCCTGCTGTTGTTTTTTGATAATGACTGATTTGCTGATTTGCTTCTCTGGTGCATGTGTCCCAGTGATGAGAGCTGTTTAGTGTCACTCTGAGAGAAGTCAGTGGGTGTAGATTACACAGTGTGACTGTCACTGGACTCACTGCAAACATATGTGTGATGGGGATGTACCAAAGGCATTTCATCAACCATGGCTGCACTTCAAACAAGAAGGGTCAGTTAGCGTGGTTGAAAAGTGATGAGTGTTTGAGGCGTGAGTTCCGGCGGGCAGTGACTAATTAAAACCCTTTGTCTTGGCTGTGCAGTCTTTGTGTCTGCAGGTGTTGCCTCAGCAGCTTGTTGCCTGCGGCTGTGGTTTGGGTGTGTTGTTTAGGTATTAGGCTTGTTTTTTCTTGCCTTGTGGCTGGGAAGAACAACAGTACATTTAGTCAGATGTAGAAATGAACTCATGAAGGATTGTCAACGAGTGCCGTACCCGGCTACACCCAGCATGTATTTGGATGAGGAATGTGTAAATGCCTTTGGAAAAATAGTAGCGGCAGGTGTCCCGCTCCTGGTGTCACCTGCTGCTCACACTGTACAGTATAGTATGCAGGCAGAGGGAATGTACCGATACTATTAAACAAATTCTGGGATAATAAACTGCTTTACCCACAATGTTCATATTTCCAAAAATAACTATGGTCCAAAACTACACCTCAAGGATGCACCCGATGGATTCTGATGAAGAGGAAGATTGACATTAAACATTTGCTCTGCGTACAATATGAGTCAACACATAACGGACCAGAAGCAATCTGCATGTGGAAAACCCATTGTACATATTTGTAAGTAGAGCAGGAGCCGCAGCGCAGTATTACATAACACGCCACTACAATGTTTCAGCTCTCATTTATATCACCGCCACCCCAAATATCCCCAATGAGAGCACTCTTCGATATTGCTCTGATCTATAACTTTGACGGTGAGTCATTATAATAGCAGTTTATTCAAAAGAGGAGTTGATTGAATTTAGTTTAGGTTGTGATGCTGGATCTCCTCCCCTTCTCCAGCTTCCTCCATCCCCATCCGTACGGGTAATCCTGACGAACAGATGGGCGTAGGAAAAATAAACAGGGGCATGCCAGCTTGTTGCGTTGCCATAATGTGTTGGTCGCTCCCCTCCCCCGTTCCCATCCCATCATGCACTTTTCTCTCCTGTCAACACTTCCGCCTGATCTACCTCGGTGTCCACTGCGTCTCCTTTATTCTACAGGAGAATCTTTTAAAGGAGCTGTTCAAAATGTGGAACATCAATATAGCAGCCAAACACTTCTTGATATATAAAAGATGACTAACCAAGCAGAGTGGAGAACGTCAGGAAGCAATGTGAATGCTTCAATCCCATATCTCGCACCTTTTTCACTTTCTAGCCAAGCGAATAGTAACATCAGTATCGTGAATGCCTCATACACACGAACACTTTTACAAATAAACAGTGGGAGACACACAGTAAATCATGCTAAAATAAACCCAGCCTGTGGCCACTGTGACACCGTATTGAATTAAAAAAATAAAGGACTGTTGATTTTAGATTATTTGTTATATTCCCATGGTTTAGCCCGTCCACTACAATATTTTGTGTATTACATCTCACATAGTGTACTTGCTATTTATTGTGAAGATACAAACTTGAATTCACAAGGGTAGAACAATAATGAATATAGAATTATGGCTTTGCTCAAGTCAGAGCGATCAGCGCTGATATCTGGCAAGATGATTTAAATGCATTGAGGCAAGAAATGTTTTTACAACCTTTTCTCAGTTTCCCTGAACAAATGCGTGGCTATATTGTACAATTACGGGTCACCAGATTCAGTTTGTAATTTTAATTAAATGGCCAGCATGGCACCTGTTTTGCCCTGCATGGCACCGTTTTTGATGAGATGACCTTAGACAGGTGTGACATGTGCTCACACACACACACACACACACACACACACACACGCAGCATGAATATACTCTCATGCGCATATGAGCACACACCCAACACCTAACCAAGCCCCAACCAAGCACCTAACCGGTCCATACGCCTGGAAAAATGTGATTGTCCAAATATCAAAGCACTTTAATTGGATGTCAGATAAAGCAAATTTTAATGGAAGCTATCAGTAATGGCTTTTGATTAGTCACACATGGATGGATACAGAGCTTTGTTTTTGAGGAATTATCATTTTTCAAAACCATTCCAGATTAATCTCTTGGTTTAACAAAACCACTATTTACAGTAATTTGAATTTATATTAAACACACAACCTTTTCTTTCTTTCTTCTTTTTCTTCTTTCTAGTTAAGAAATACGTTACTTAGGAGTGAGCGTTTAAAAAAAAAAGGTATTGTTCCTATTTTACACCTTTTCAGGGAGAGTCATTGTGTTACCTGAATGTGCCTGAAGCAGAGCTATTAAAATCCAATTCATCGAAAGGCATGAATTGAATAGGAAAAATAGAGGGACACGAAATGACCACAAGATGCTTCCAATGTTATTCATACGAGGGGTTTAAAAAGGGCTGGAGGTTGCATAGCAACTCGCTGCAGCAAGGTTAAGTTATTTATGGAAGAGGAGCCAGCAGATCTCTCTCTCTCTCACCATTACCTGGGATTCTATCCTGTGCAGTGACATCACATAGATTAATGTAAGAATCACTTTCACCACTTTTTATAAGTACGCTTGTTGTTCTGCAAGATAAAGTTATGTTCCTTTTGTACCACAACATCAGCGTTACGCCATCTTTTACTGTACATAGGGCTAGTTCAGAACTTTGAATGTCAAATAAGTTAAATTAGTAAATGTGTGTTTTGAGATTTCGGTGTTCCACCACAGTACCAGACCCTAGACTTTAAAACTATATTTCACTTAATTTTTGCATTCACTTACGCGGATGATACGGACCTGTGTTTTTAGAAATATGCTGTTCAGAGCTTGTTTGAGAAAGTTCAAAACAAAAAACCGTCTCACACTGTATTCATGCATTTTCTTTCCATCATGACTGCTTTGTATGTTTGTAGGAATTTATACTGTATGTATGTACGTACTATACTCGCTTTATCTGTGGGCATATCTTGATGTCATCCTGCCCTCTCAGCGTTCTCCCAGTGGTAAACAACATGGAGACAATGGCCCCCATGGGGCGGTTGTGGCGTTGCGGATGGTGATGGCTGTGGGCATGCTGACTATCAGCACATCACAAAGCCTCAGAGAAAAGCAGGCGCTCTGGGATTCTGCGGATGTTGCTGGAAAAACTGACCCCCAGAAAGGGAAGGCCCTCTGTGTGCATGTGTGCACGTGCGAAAGAGGCCGAGATAGTTTGTACTGATTAGCCGGCTGGGTGTGCTGTGGTTTTTGGGCCATCGGGGGACAAAGAGACTGTCCTTTCACTGCAAAAGAAGTGGTGTTAGTGTAGTGAAAGCTCCTCTTAAAAATAACTTCCACGGGAGCGGACGGCTTCCGATGAAGTCAGCAGTTAAATCCATCCACCCAATAGACCTTAAATGAAGCAGTTTTGGGTTTCAACAATGACACCAGGCAGAGTTGCTCTGGAAGAATAACAGTTGCACTGCTTACGGTCTTTAATCATTGTGCTTTTACAAACGTGTGGGTGAAGCACACAACGTGATCCATTGGTAAAAAGGAATCAAATGCATCCGCAGACATATTTGGGGCATTCTGTGTGTATTTCAATCGCATCAAAAATACAACTGCAAGCCTTCAATGTTTGTGTCTTTTCTTGCTTTAAACTTGAAACCTCAATTTTCTTTTATTCATAGTCTCAAATGTTTTTCCAAAGAAATCTTGAACTTTTTCCTAAAAACCTGTAATGCCTTACTTCAGCCTCAGGGTGCTTTACTCCTATTGCTCATATAGTCTTTCTTCTTACTTTCAAAGGTGAGGAAGGTAACATTATCCAACTATTGTCTGCACCACAAATGTGCTTTAGTAAATAATACTTAACTTGTTGAATAGATACGAAACATGTATGAATAGTAGCCCATTTATTAAGATGGTTAGGGAGGCAACATTACCTCTTGTCTGCCGCTTTAGATTAAAATGTGTCGTGGAGGCTTTGCCTCAAAGACGTGGGGCCATTTTCTCCCCTTACGGTGGCCGTCTGGTCGCTGGATGAGGGTTCGTCATGGAAGGAGATAGCGAGACGAATCAGTCGGCCAATAATGTTATCAAATCTACAGAGACAATGGATAACACCAGGTATTGGGATGTTTACTGAGGGTCAGCACTTCCTAGTATGTCACTGTGTCTTTACGTCTTACCTGGTGTGACATTTTGCATTCCTTCTCTACAGACACTTGAAATGTGTCCCACAGCCGTTTTTTATTTAAAGCGGTTAGTTAATGGCTTAACCGTAGAATTTATGGATACTTTGGTAAGCTCAATAATATATCTACCTCCTTTCACATACGACTAGATACCCGAGTTTTGTTTTTGTTTTTTATGGCCCAAAACTTTACTGGTGTGGCTCTCTGTCACAGCTCTCGTCAGATGATGTCTCTAGCGACAGCAGGAAAAAGCGCTAATGTCGCACCAAACTTCAATTAACCTCAAGGAGGAACAGATGTTTAGCCAGATATTTACCAGAGGAATTTGTGGGGACCAAAACCAAAGCTAAAGGAAACCTTTCAGGAAATAGTGACCACTTATTTCGATTTAAGTCACCCGCAGCCGCAGCTGCGTAGTCTCTAAAAGAAAGCAGCATCAAGGGAAAGAGAATGTATATTCCCCCCATAAAATTGTAAAAGTCCACTCTCAGCATTGAAGTGGCATTTATAGCGGCTTAGCATTCAGGCCGCAGCTTCCCTCCGTGTGTTTGTGGGGACTCTCACGGCTCACAGCTCCTTTCCCAGTGACCTGAGACACACGGACTCTACGGAGACCATCGCCTTTCAGAGCAGTCTGGTTATGGTGTTATGCGCCGAGTCTCTTCCCAAAAGGAGTGGAATTTCAGCCTACTAAGAAAATTTCTCGTCAGAGCGCAAGTCTCGCTTTACAAACGGTCATTGTGGCGCCGGTGTGTTCTCGTCCAAATCTGTGTGTGTGTGTGTACCGCGCTACTGAAGAAAGCGTGCGCTCTGACTCACTCTGCTGCCTTTAGAAAAACCTCAGTCACTGCAATCTGATGTGACTGGATATGACTGTTTTCCCCGGGTTTGCCCCCCTACCCCCACTCCCTCATCTGTCTAGTCAGACTGTCAGGCCTCAGCGTGACTGAAGGCTGCGGAGTGACCAACTTAGCACATCGCTGCAGGGTTGGCAAACCGCGCGGCGGGAAGGCTGTTGGGTTTGCGTCAGCACGCTTCGCGCCGTTCTTTGTAGTTGGAGAACTGCTCGCTCTGGTTGCATACTGAATTGCCAAGCTATTTAAAGTCGCTCTCATCTTTACAGAAGCTATCTAGTGAATGCTTTTTTAGAGAAAACAAATGATCGCCCTTTTTTTTGTTTGACGAGCTCAACACAAATGGCTCAATGGACACGTTGGCTTCGGCAGCTATTAGATAACATGTCAAACAAGTCAGCATTTTAACAAAGTATCACAGCAGTTTAGGCCAAGAGTTGCAATATCAAAAATGCAAGGCGTTGATGGGTTTGAAAGAAATAATCCAAATTTTGGCAATAACATATCCTTACAGCGTTGGATGGTCATTTAATTTGAATATTGCCTCTTATATTTAGTGTTGCATGCTCAGCTGAGACCACATGCACAACAAAAAACAGCTGGAATAGATCCAGGTCACTGAAGGTCAATGTGGGCTGGTGATGGCAACAGGAAGTGGATCCAAAAGCCTAGCTGCTGTACGTCCGCACCACTAAGGAATGTTTTTATTAGTCCTTGTGCAACGGCTGGCTGGCGGCGTTTTATGGCGCTCCACGTTGGAGAAAGCAATGTTGACTCATCCATTAATGCAGACTCAGTGTTTTATTGCACTGTTGCAAAGCAACCAGACAGTGTGTCATCGTTTCTGAGAATGTTTAAGAGTTAGGGTCTGCCTTTCCATGGCACAGTTGTAGGGTTGGCTAGTCTGCCCTTATCTTCCACTAAAATAATCCTTTCTAAAACTTCGACACCTTCTTGTTCTTGTTCTAATGTAACGGTTTTGGACCAGAAGTCCCAAACAGCTTCATATATGGGTTTAGCTGTGTGGGAGGCCATCTCAGCCACAGCCCGATGGAGCGTTATTGTAATTAATCCAAAAATGGCTATTACATTTGCATAATACCACATTCCCAGTTTCACAATTAGATTAGAAGATTGAGCATGCATGGGCTGCTTTTATGGCATTGAGTGCAACACATTGTGTTTCTCTCAGTCCTTCTCTCTCTCTGTGTCTCTCTTTCTCTGTCTCTGTCCTCCTCCCTGTCGATTAACTAGTTAGAGAGTAATATCCAATAGGACGTGTCGGCGTAATTACGTGTGTCCTGGGGTTGTATTAGCTCACACTCACTGCCTAGCTCAGCTGGATAAAATCTGACACACTACTCTGTGCGTGTGTGTGTGTGTGTGTTCATAGCTCACCCTATGACGTCAGACTTCCTCTCCAGCAGAGTAGGGACCTCGAACAGTGAGCTTGATAGTTTCACCTTCAAATGCCTCTGAAGACTTCGACCCTGTGTGTGCGTATGTGTGTGTGCGCGCTCTGCTCGCATATCCACGTGTTTGTGTGCCTTTGTGCAAAGATGCTCGTCATGAATAATGAAGATGTCAGAATGAACTGAGCCATTTACCTGACAGCAGCTCCCCCTCAAAATCCATCTCTGCGCGCTGTCCAGGAGTTACCGTCACCCTTTGGCCACTGGGACTCAACCGGCTCATGCAATAGAAATAAATTTTTTTCTGGCAGCTCACATAATGTGCAATCGTGTAGAAGGCAGGGACATGCATCATTTCTATGCACAGCAGCATCTTGATGCCACCGGTGCAGTGGTGTAATTTGAATTTGCCAATAAATAATTGCGGGCTAATGCATACGTGACAGAGGCTCACGCAATGCAAGACAAAGCACATGAAAAGGGGGGAAAACAAACACAATTTTCTGCTCCCCGTTCAACGACAACACGGTGCTATGATTTTAAAGTGCGACTGCTCAAACTGTGTCGCTCTCTTATGGACCACGTGACAGAAGCCACCGCTTCTGGGCCTTCACTCATGTGTAGCCCGGTTATACGAGACACTGACTGAGAATGCGTGGACTAATGCGGTGGGATTTGCTCATGTACGCGGCAGCCTGCATGCAGCGATATCGGCAGAGTTGGGAGTGTTCCGGCCGAGAGCACTATGCAATATGTTTACAGGCAAACACGTGGAGGATGTCAGTGTTGCACAGTTGATATTTCAGTCATCAGTGGCTCTCCCATCTTGAGGACACCTCTGACCACATATCTCTACAAAGAATGGCCAAACAAGTCTGCGTCCTATCTGTGTACAGGACTGACAACTGTAAAATACTTGTTCCAAATACAGAGTAGAAGGTTGTTTGGACTTTTTCTCCAGTCTTTCTGTTGGCAGCATGGCGGGCGATCCAGCAGACGAGCCACTTGTGATTTGTGACTTTGGACGAGTTTTGGACTCACAAAGTAAACTTTTCATTGTGGTTCATTAGACACCCCAAGACTTGATGGTTCTTTATACTAAATAAATCTATTAAATGCAACCTAAAACATATTGTTTTATTAGCACATGTAGTCATCTTATTTTATTTTCTTCATATGTCTCTGTAGTGTAGATCCAGGTTTTCATCCTGACAAACCCGACCATGGACAGGAACAGGAAGCGGGTGCCGGGCTTCGCAGCCATGCTATTGATACTCTTGAGTCACATGACGTCGGCACTGGAGGTGCCTCTTGATCGTAAGTAGTGTCCCCATCACATCAATGTCACATTCAATGTAAAATTCTAGCCAACTATTCTGCTTGCATTAACACTTGCATCAAGCAAGAACTGTAATAGAAATGACACTCAACAATTTCATATCGATGTGCATAATTAATCTTGCTTCTATGGGCCACTAAACAAGTTTGAGTGTTTGTACATTTTTTAATTAAAATTAAATTTACTGATTTCCTTTTATTTCATGGAATGACATTTGCATCTTTTGGTTTAAAAATGTTATTCTGAAGGACTCTCACATATGTAGATCACACACCCTGTGTGACATCATAGTGTCTTCAACTACTTTACTAGCATTTGTTGTACCCGCCCTATGAATCTCAAGCAAACTCCAGGCAGTCTCAATAAAATACTACTCCTTGCAACAACTAACGCCTTTCCTCAATATTCTATCACTGTGGTGCGGCGTGTCACGCTGGGCAAAAAAGCTAAAGTACTGGAAGGATGTAAGTTGTTTAAAAGAAGCTGCTGTGGCTTTTAGTGTTGACTTCTTGCACTTCAAACTTAACTTGCGTGCGTTTGCGTGTCCTAGCAATGTTAGATGTGCATGCGGTTATCTCATCGCTGTTCCTGTGTGAAGTGACGTGCTTGCTTTGGAGTGGTGCTGGGTTTATGTCAGATCACGGACTGGTAAGACGGATCACATAGCAGCTTGCAGCTCGAGCTGGTGTTACACCCAATAGTGGGACTGCTTCTTGCATGTTGCCTGCAAATGCCTGATGCTGTAATTCAGCGTGCCGCGATTTCACTCTGTGTGTCTAAACGTTTCTTTGCATGTGTCTCCAGTGCCACAACCCCCCACCATAACGCTACAGTCCCCGAAGGATTACATCTTTGATCCGCGGGAGAACATTGTCATCCACTGCGAGGCCAAGGGGAAGCCTCATCCCAGGTGAGACCATCACTCATCCCATCCCCCTTGACGCTTGTTTATCCGTCCCGGTCGCAAGCCGCGCTTGCATATTTCCCTGGTCGCTCCTCCTGTTCCCAGTGTGATAGAGAGTTTCAGCAATTACGAGCAAACATATATCCACTTTCATGGTCCTCTCTGGGAAAATATAGATTGGTTTCTGAGGGCAGCTTTAATCCGCAGCAGCGTGGAAATGTAAAAATTGACATAGCAGCTGTTGTCGTAGAAACCACTTGAGAAACACACCTCGCAGAGCGAATTGCGCACAGTCTGGATTTCCCACCTGCCCCTTAATCAAGTTAGAATCAGCCAGACTCCTTGCTACAAGATCGGTGATTACAATAAGTCTGCATGACTAGACCATAATGCAGCTGTTGGATAAAGATGCTAAAATCCTGTCATTTCCTCTGTTTCGTGTTTCCTTGTGGCGCCTAACCTCAAAGATCCAGTGACGGCTATTGTTTATTTTTCGATTCTAGCTTTTTGTGGACAAGAAACGGGACCCACTTTGAGGTCGAGAAAGATTCCAAAGTCCTGATGAAGCCCGGTTCAGGAACTCTTGTCATTGACATCAGCGGGGAAAAGGCTGAGGCCTATGAGGGAACGTACCAGTGCACGGCACACAATGAGCACGGCACCGCTGTATCCAACAGCATTGTCATCAGACAGTCCAGTAAGGCTTGTGATTTTATTATTTCATTTCAACTTTGACTCCTAGTATTCAGCTTCCACAAAAGGCTCAAACCCAACACTGATCTGTGTCAAGCTCCCGAATGGGAACCTTCCAGCGTCTTTGTTCGATGTTTATGTGACTCGCAGGGTCCCCCTTGTGGTCGAAGGAGAGAAACGAGGCAATTGCGGTGCAAATGGGGGGCTCCCTGGTGCTGAAGTGCCGTCCCCCTGCAGGGCTGCCGCCACCGGTCATCTTCTGGATGGATAACAGTGCGTCATTTCCATACCTGCATTTATACAACCTCACATTGAATGTTACAGAACAGGTCCAAGGATTGTGCGACGTACACGTGTACGTGCTGTTCCATGTCCAACTCTCTTTGCGTTCCCCATTCTTCAGATTTCCAGAGGCTACCGCTGGATCAACGCGTGTCCCAGGCTCTGAATGGAGACTTGTACTTTTCCAATGTTCTTCCAGAAGACACCAGGAGCGACTACATCTGCTATGCTCGCTTCCCTCACACACAAACCATCCAGCAGAAGCAGCCCATCTCAGTCACCGTGCTGGACAGTGAGTAAAGACACTCAATTCCTTCAATTTTACTACTATATTTTACAACATAATTGGAATACAAAGTCATAGTTTATACTGATTGCCACTATGTAATTTGTTAAATAAAATAAAAAAAGAAGTCTCTTTTATTTCATATTTATATCATAATATATATTTATTTAGATTATTTCCACACACTGATCAGACGTTAATTCTGCGCTAACCGTGTGCTAACCCTCAAAACAATATGATTCTTTATTTACAATATATTTTCACGAGCTAATGCATTGGTTTAAATATTGTAAAGTAACACATTTCCTGTTTCTTTTTTCCTAGTTATGCATGCTTATGATGTTCTGTTATGTTACAGTGCAAACAATGAATGAGACAGTGGCTTCTTTATACAATTTCACTGATTTCTATGTTGGTGAGTGCAGCTGGTTTAATCCCACTCAGCCCCTTCAGTGTGAACCCGGCCCTGCCTCCTCTCCCAGCCTTAACCTCACCCAACATACACACTCACCTCAACTTGGCCTCAACCCCCACAGCAAAGGGCGTAAACATTTCATACAGTAAATCACCCAATCGCTGTCGGGTTCTGATTCGATCATGTGTCCTCGTGTTTTCAGACAGCCCAGATGGGGAACGTCGTCCCCGCTTCATGATGCCTCAGGGCGCCACCAGCACCAAGATGGTTCTGAGAGGGGAGACTCTGGAGCTGGAGTGCATTGCTGATGGCTTGTAAGTAGGCTGTACCAGTAATAAACACAGAAGAAATGCGCCCTTTTATGTACCGTACCATGTGCTTTATGAGAAGCTGTCATGGTGTTCATATAAAAACAGGTGGTGTACAAAATATTTTAACAGCACCATTCACTTTTGTGACAGACCCACCCCAGAGATCTCCTGGCAGAAGGATGGAGGGGAGCTGCCGAGCAGCAGGATGTCTTTTTACAACTACAAGAAAACGCTGAAGGTTTCTGATGTGAATGAAGCTGATGGCGGTGACTACCGCTGTACAGCCACAAACAACCTGGGCACTGCGCACCACATCATCAAGGTCACTGTCAAAGGTACCCCGGATTTTTCAAGGTTACATTCGGTGTATAAATGATCGACCAGAACGGCTACATTTTAATCTTGCACGTGCAAAGATTGTATTACCGCAACGTTTTAATTCGGTCACAAATGTTGCTGTTGTGTCTCTTTCGCCATCCACAGCGGCTCCTTTCTGGGTCAGTGCACCCAGGAACCTGATCCTCGCCCCGAACGAGACCGGCATCCTGACTTGTCGAGTTAATGGAACACCCAAACCTTTGATCACCTGGTTGGTCAACGGTGTATCCCTAGAGAGTGAGTCCAATGAGTCCAATGATCGACTATCCTACGTTTACGCACAGATATACCTGACAGCAGAGTCTACGAATGAACACCTAGACTCTACATAGTTTATCTGATTGCACTGGAATCACCTTGCGCTCATTTTTACTTACACGAAAGTGTGACTGTGTAACCGTATAGACGCTCCAGAGGACCACAGTCGGAAGGTGGATGACGACACTGTGATTCTCAGCAACGTGCAATCCGGATCTAGTGCCGTCTACCAGTGTAATGCATCCAATGAATTTGGCTACCTGATGGCAAATGCTTTTGTCAACGTGCTTGGTGAGTTTTTGTTATTTTGAAATTTTATATAAGAAGTGATCAGATTTCTCTCATGTCAAGCCCAGTGTGTATGAGGGGGGGGGGGGGGGGGGAAATACTGATTTGGATAATGTTGTGTTACTTTCCACAGCTGAGCCACCGAGGGTGCTTTCTCCACCTAACCAAGTATACCAGGTCATCACCAACAACCCTGCATTACTTCATTGTGCCTCATTTGGTTCACCAATACCAGCTATCACATGGTAAGAGCCCCATCAGACGACTTTCATTCTGACATTTTAAAGGAAATATTAGCTGAAAATCAAAATGAAATGCAAATTTTGTTCCAAGGCTAATTTAAATGTGTATCGGTAAACGCCAAAGATGTTGTTGCGCGGCGCCATCAAATACTTAAACCCAATTTTTGCGGCCTCCGTGCAGGTTCAAAGACAGTCAGACCAGCATTAAGAGCGGGGATTCTTACGTGATCCACGAGAACGGCACATTGGAGATCATTGTGGCCCAGCCAGTAAACAGTGGAAAGTACACCTGCATTGCAACCAACAACTTGGGGATCAAGGAGAACCACGTCAAACTGGAAGTAAAAGGTCAGATATGGAGAATGAAAATAATTGGATTGTATTCTATCTTATAAACATTAGGTAGTGACTATCAAGCTGTATCGATTCTAAACATTAGCTCTTCTCCTAATCACCCAGAGCCCACCCGAATCCTCAAGCAGCCAGAGTACAAGGTGGTACAGAGTGGAATGAGCGCCGTGTTCGAGTGTAAAGTCAAACACGACCCAACCCTCGATCCAACCGTGACGTGGCTCAAAGACAACAGAGAGCTGCCGGACGGGAGGTACGATGACTCATCAGACATTCAGTTGAGGATTCAGTTGCACCATGGAACAAAAACAAGAATCGTATCATTTCTCTGCAATTACGCTGTCATCAGGTTTGAGGTGAATATGGAGAGTCTGACCATCAAAAACGTGACAGAAGAAGATGAGGGCACCTACACCTGCATCATGAACACCACCCTGGACCAGGACTCAGCAAGTGCCATGCTGACTGTCGTAGGTCCGTTCAAAGTGCATTTGAGTGACGGGTTACCCAATGCTCCCAAAGACAATGTTGTTTACTCAAGACAAGGGCGATGCAATATTGGTCTTTTTTCTCTTCTTTCATGATCATGACTTATAAAGAAGAAAAATCTTTTAACCGCTTTGAAAGGATCAGCTGTGATCTAATTTACTGTCAGACTAACGCAACCCTTTTCCCCTGCTTTTCTGCTGTTTCTACTATCTGTCACTAACATGTAATCTGTTTTTGTTATCTACTCTTGCTCCCTGCTTTCTCAGAGGCTCCTCCTCCTCCAGCGATTGTCTACGGTAAACAATGTCTACAGATTAGGATTTTGTAGCTTTCATTTTCTTCACCCAACCACCAGTTCCGTTTCCATTTCACCTCAATGTTTTTTGTTTGTTTTTTTGGCTTATTTTGTCTTTTCACCCTTTTCTACCATTTTATTTAACTTGTATACAGAAATGTATTTAGAAATTGTACATAGATATATCTTTTCAAAATTAAAAACGGTTTAATTGTGAAGTCCTTGACATTTGAAAGAAACACCACTCAGGTGTTTTCACCTCACCTGCCTGATTAGAATTGATTGCACAGGTCTGAAGTCTGAAGTGAAAACACCTGTGCTGGTGTGCACGGTCTTAAATTGTTTAATTGCTTGAAGAAATAAATACTGCACCTTTTTGATGCAATAATAAGAAGCAATGTTTTCTTTAACAAATACGACACGGGAAATTTTTATTGAATGAAGATTGTAATATTTACTGAACAAAAGTAAAATGTTTGACAACAATTCAACTCTTGTGCCAATTTTGAAGCTATAGGAATAAAATCCAAATTTTATTCAGAAATAAACCTGCCTTCTAAGACAACATTAAGCTATTGTCTCAAAGTGAATTAAACTGCTGGTTCTCTTTTTTTCCGTGGTCCCGGGCTTCATTGTTCCGTTTACAGAGAAACCCGACCCTCCAACTGATCTGGAACTGACTGACCAGACAGAGAGAAGCGTTCATCTCACCTGGATCCCCGGAGACGAACACAACAGTCCCACAGAGAGTATGAAAAGTCTCTCAAACTACACCACAATTTCCCTATGCAAAACTTGTAATCAGTATTTATTGTCTGTTGTGCAGTTTGTTCAGAGATAGTTATTTTTCTGGAAGCAGTAAAAAGACACGATAAACAATGAGACAATATGACTAAATACAGAGAAAAAAATGAATAATTGGGAAGAATGTTTTTCTTTTTTCAGACAGTGTCTACATATTCAAAATATTATTTAATCTTTCCCAGAGTTCTTGATCCAATACGAGGATCTGCTCCACCAGCCAGGAGTTTGGATCAACCTCACGGAGGCTTCCGGTACGAGCACCACGGCGCAGTTAAACCTCTCTCCTTACGTGTACTACTCCTTCAGAGTGCTGGCCATGAATCACGTGGGCTACAGCCACCCGAGCCAGCCATCAAGCCAATACAGGACCAACCCTGCAGGTGATCATAATGGTCACTTTTTTAGGATTAAAAGTACCACAACAAATCAAAAAAATATTCAAACAAATTGACTTTTATTAAACCATTTATTTTTGTTTTTTACTAGCTCCCGATGAAAATCCATCAGATGTTGAGTGTTTAGGAACAATGCCAGGCGACTTGGTCATTTCGTGGACAGTAAGTCATGCTTTTAGATTGGTCAAGTGTTAAAAAAAGCTTTGCATACAAAGTAAAGTTGGAACATTTCAGCATGTTTTTGTTTTCAGTCTCTGACAAAACACAATCTCCGTACAGCCGTTGACAGGATTTCAGGCTAACGGGCCCAGTCTGGAGTACAAAGTGCTTTGGAGACAGAAAGACACGGATGAGGATTGGTCCTCACAGAATGTGGGCAACGCGTCTGAGTTTGTTGTGTCGGGAGCTCCTATTTACGTGCCCTACGAGGTCAAGGTTCAAGCTTTGAACGATTACGGCAACGGCCCTGAGCCTGAAGTGGTGATCGGACACTCTGGAGGAGACTGTGAGTCGAATTGATGACCTTCAAATCTCCGTTTACATCTTTTTTTTTTTTCAATAAAGCAGTGAATGCTGCTGCAGACCAAAGTGTTTCTCTGCAGTGGGATCGATTGTACTAACAACACACACACAGGGAATTACCACATATTCATCTTTCTGATCTTAATGTGAAAATATTCTCCTTTAAACTGTCAACTTGTGTGTCAACACATGTTAACACAACTGTAAAGTTCACGTATCTACTTAGTTTTGACCATTGACTGTGACCCTTTTTCTGCCTTATATACATTTTACAAAAATCAAGTCATATAGCTTCCCGATAACGGCCTTGAGACTTTGAGTGATTCCTTACAATATTACTTCTTTGTCATATCTCTGCAGTGCCTTTATCTGCTCCTGAGAGTGTGCAGATCATGGTTCACAACAGCACACTTGCAGAAGTGCACTGGGAGCCCGTTTCCTTCTCCTCAGTCAGAGGAAAACTACAGGGATACAAGGTATTGTTTGCTAAAAGTTCTACAGCATGTCTTTGGTTGTGTGTGATACCGCTGCCTTTCCTCTCAAATTAGTTATTGGGGAACAAAGCTTGCATGCAAGAAAGCTGTGATGTGGCTCCAACTTCCTCGGAGGTTGTGTCTGCTCCTCATTGGATAATTGACTGGGAGGCGGCCATTATGCAGTTTGTGTATATAAAGGCAAGGCGCGCTGTTAGTCTGTAAAATCTGTGCTGAAAGGTGTGTGTGTGTTGCAGTGTGGTGGCAAACGCTCCTCAGCGCTTTAGCAGGTCTAGCTGAAGGTTCCTGCACGAGTATTTGTGTGACGGTTACGTTCTAAAACACGCAGGCCTTGACATCTTGCAAATGTTTTCAGAAGGTGGCATTAAATAAATATGAGCTAAATGGTTGGGGGACCGACCGTTTGATCTACTTGGCCTTCATCCCCAACGGAATATGAATTAAATTGACCAAAAAGACCAACCAGAAACAATTTCATTGAAAATATTAAGGGATCAGTTTCACGGTTGTTAAAAAGTATTTCTATAATGTGTACTCTATCTTGTCACTTTCACATATTGGCCATCAAAAAACACCTATTAAGAACTCCAAGGAAACGTGTCAGACTACAGATGTCATGCAGAAACTAGAAACTAATTTTATTAATTCTGTGTTTATGAACATGAGGCTCTTGAGGCATCTAATCCCACCCAAAAGTTAGTTTTCCATCATTTGCTAATAATATGTGCAACAAACAAAATCTGTAACATACGTAAGCCATGCAGTCAAAGTGAGTCTTGCATTTTAAAGAAAGATACTGAATTTGAACCTTCGTTATGCCTCCTTGCGTTGAGGAGTTAATAAAATAATGACTGCGCTTGTATAGGAACTAACTCGGTTCACTGTTTTCTCAAGGTGTACTACCGACGTGAGGAGGACACAGAGCAGCAGGAACTGGTTTTGACGTTCAGTGGGAATCGTAGCGAGGGACGTCTGCCGGGCCTCCAGCCTTACAGCACCTACAACCTCACCATTAGAGTCCTTAATAACAAAGGAGAAGGACCGCCGAGTCCCAGCCAGACATTTAAGACACCAGAGGGAGGTGTGTATGGCCACCAATGGCTGAAGGTTTATTCTGCAGGTCTTAAGCATCATGCATGTTGGTGCTTTATTTCCTTGATAGTTGCATGCTTGTTGTAGTTTTCGGACTCATCTTGCAAAAAAAGAAAAATATGAATTGGGTCACAAGATTTTGACTGAACTGACACATTGTGGACACATCGGACTTACATCCGATACGTTGTTTTTACTACACAATGTTTTTACGTTTTGACACCTGCTACTAACACTATGTTTTGCGAGGAATGGCACTATTCTCTCTTCTGTGACCATAGTCAAAAAGTACTAGCAAACCTACACAACACCATGGCAACCTCGTAATGTCCCAGAAAGAACCTGGAACATCCTAGCAACTTTCTAGTTCCACACCTGAAATCTCACAGATCACCATCAAACAATGTGGAAACAAAGGCCGTTTTCTGCCACCATCTTATTCACTAATATAACCTATAAATGCTCTCATTGTCGGCTCTGTGCAGCATCCAAGTTCCAACTGTTGTGGCTTTTCTTTTCAGTGCCGGGGCCTCCTTCTTTTCTGAATGCCATAAACCCCAGTTTAGACACTCTAACTCTGCAATGGGGCCCACCGGCGAGCAACAACGGACGGCTAGCTGGGTACACACTGAAATATCAACCAGGTAGGCTTAGCAGCTGCCTGCAACCCCGTCTGTTGCATTACGAGGCATCTGTGTAAAGGACAGCTGTGCATTCCCAACTTCTTCTCCTTTCAAAACACTATCTGCAGTCAACAACACTAACGAACTGGGGCCAGTCAAGGTCATGACCTTCCTCGCCAACGAGACCACCACCACCCTGGGCAACCTGAACTCCAGCATGCTGTACAAGTTTTACTTGAGTGCAAAGACAATCAAGGGCTCTGGCCCTGTCATCACAGAGGAGGCCTTCACAGTCATGGACACAAGTAAGCCATTTCCCCTCATCTGTAATGCGTTCGGAGGAAAAAGGCCAAAGTGCTGCATCTGTCTGATGTAAGATACACATCGAGGACTGTGTGGTTCAGAATCTCATTGCTCTGAACAACATCAGGGATTTCTTTTGAGCTTAAACGCACAAGGTCCTACTGCATTTCACACCTTGTATCCCCTTCGATCTCTTTCTCTTTTTACTTTCTCTCTGAAGCTCGTACTCAGCCCGCTGTAGAGACGGGTAAAGGTAACCCACTTTCGCCCCTGGAAGCTCCCGCATGTTATTCATATCACCGGATATGATTCAAGGCAGATAAAAGAGCTAAGCGTAGAATTAGTCTGTAGATTGATTATCCCTGCACGTTGATAAGGTAGCATGTCTATAAAGGTGCGAATGGGAATACATGGGTTTTATAGACTTCCATGGCATCTGCAAACAAACCAGATAACATAAGTTAAAGTTACAGTGAGGAACTTGTACCTGTATGAAACTATTTATTTCTGACATAATTAACCTAGAACATCAATGTTCATTTTTTTTCTCTGGTTAATGGCAACTATTCACAAGCAAAAATCAGACAAAATACTGCAGTTACTGGTTCTCAGCCCAACAGCCCAAAACACAAAGTTAAAGTTCCTCTTGGTAGCTTTTAAATACGGGGGGGTGGCGTAATTGAGTTGGTTGTGCCTGTGGTCTTTACCCCTCATATTTGCCCTCTTCAAATATTTTCGCTAGAAGCCAAATGCATGATGCTTCTGAACGTTTTAGTCCTGCACTAACAAAAACTTAAATGTACGTATGTGCTAATGCTATAAACGGATGGGTTGCATATCATGATTACAGACATTTGATTGAGATAATATGCATGCTGCAGTGCGATGATTCAGAGTTTAATTTGTTTGCATTTCCCCTGAAACTCTGGATTAAAATACTTGGGGCATGTTTTTACTCTGCATGTCAGCCGCAACTTTCTCTGCAAAAGTCTGGCTCCGCAGGTCCCTGTATGCTGTGTACTGTGTTGGTGTGTGTGTGTGTGTGTGTGTGTGTGTGTTGTCTCACTATTTTCCGTGTTCTTTCAGGCCCTACAGAGCCCCCTCACACAACCTCCCCCGTCACTCAGTCTCCGCATTCCCCGTTTCACAAGGGTACAAGCGCTCCCTGTATCCCCGCCTATCTCCCGAAATATCATCTGCAAAAAATGGTCCATCTCTGCAAAACAGTCCATGAAGTATTGATTTGATTAATAGGAAAAAACTTTTTCGTTTAAATAATTCCTCTGGGATTTCTCTTCGATAACACTAACAAGAATAAGGGAAAGTTCTCGCTGAGATGGCCATTTTTTGCAAGTATATAACCGACTGGTTTCTATGTTGTTGCAAGATCTGACACTGCTTCACGGTCATTTAACAATAACGGTGTTGCCATTTATTGAAACGTAGTTTTCACATGTATGGGATTTACAATCTAACCCTATATATTAATTGGGCATGAATCTACTCATTCATTCTTGAATTTAGGTTACAATAGCTGATTTTTAACACCTGTTTATCCTAAATACAGGCGTAATGTGTAATATTCATTGTTTTGTTTCGGACCTATATACGTAAGCTCTATTACCAGTATTTACAAGGTTTTATTTTACAGAACTTTGTCAAAATGTGTACATTTTAGGAATAAAAGCTATTTGTTTTTTCCCTCTCTTGTGTGCTCAGTGCCGCCTGTAGGCCCTGCGTTTGGCAAAGTTAACACGTCCATGTTGGAGGACGGTGCAGTGATCAGTTGGGAATACTTTGGACACCATAAGAATGTATATGTGGAGTATATTGTAGAAAACAGTAAGGCTTCGTTTTGTGTTCACTGTCATCTCAAAACACGAGTTGTGTGAATTGATTGACTGTTTAAAACCCAATCCGATCCGATCCTTAATGATTCAACCATCAAAACAGACAGTCTAGATGCCATCATTCAAATAATAATTATTCTTCCCCAAGGTTTCGTGTATCTAATTCCTCTCAATCCGCTCCACTGATTCCAGGTAAAGAGGACTGGAAACAGGAGTTGGTAAACGGTTCACACTGGCATATGATTAAAGGTTTAAAGCCGGGGACGTCCTATAAGGTGCGTGTGGTAGCTAGAGACCCGGCTGACCCGGCGGTCCACAGCACAGACGAAGTGTTGGTTGCGGTGCCAGGTGAGGCGGCATGCCTCAGGATAGACCGATATGAGGATCATTTTTAACTCATTTGTTCCAATTGCATTTCCGTTAAAACACTCATCATCTCATTATCAGATATCCAATGCTACATTAAGACATTAATGTACGGTAGTTCGCTAGTTTGTGTACATGCATGTCTGCAGTTGCCATCAACTCGGTTCGGATGCATGCCACTTAAAATCATCACTAAGATTTCCATTATTTTACTTTTCTTTTGCGCCCGGTTTTGCGTTCCTTACCAGCCATTGCATACTAACATTTCTAAATGTTCTATCTGCGTTTTAATTTCAGTTCACCTCAGTGTTGCTCACCATCAAGAAAGAGTTCCCCTTTTTAGCAGCCTGGATGTGGACTGACAGTTATGCTTACTGTTTGTTGCGGTCTTTCCCTCGTGTGTGTGTGTGTCTAGCTATAGCCAGCCGGCAGGTGGACATTGCCACCCAGGGCTGGTTTATTGGCCTGATGTGTGCCATCGCTCTCCTCATCTTGGTCCTTCTCATAGTGTGCTTCATCAAGAGGAACAAGGGTGGAAAGTATCCAGGTGATGCACACAAAGACATTTTAAGTTTATTCACGTGGGTGGTTGGAAACTTGAGTATAATTTGGCTTTTTTTAATGTGTAATCTGACAGTGAAAGAGAAAGAAGATGCCCACCAAGACCCAGAGATCCAGCCTATGAAGGAGGATGATGGGACATTTGGAGAGTACAGGTGAGAGATGGATAAGAATTTACCTGCAGTTAAAATCCACAGATTACGCGGCTCAATTTTGGATTCATTGAGGCCTTCGTGTTACAAGGTTGCAGAGAGACTCTCCACCAGGAAATATATCAACCTGGAAAATCTATTTCAACAAGTTTTGTTTGCTAACCACGTACCATTTTTTTTTAAATAACAAATTCTAATTATAGTGATAGTTTTAGTTTTTTATCACAATATTTTCCCGTTTAGAAAAAAAAGTATTTGCTCTGACTGAAGCGTATTTCTAACGTTTCTGGATGACACTGCTTCAAATGTCTCCATACGCATGCTGCTGTCTGGTCTGTGCATACAAGAATAGACGCTCATTGTGGTCCATGAATTGCTTTTCATGTGTGCTTCCATTCTTATCTTTTTGACGGGTTTAGGTCTATGGAGAGGTAAGACGAGATGTCGCTAAAACCAGCATGCGATTCTATAAACCCCTCCAGCTATGTTGCTCTGCAGAGATAAACTAAAAGCGAGGAGAGAGCACATCAACTGATTTGGTTTACTTTGGCATCATACTCACTGGCAGAGGCAAACCCATAGCCACAGTTCCAACTTTAACACTGAGATTTAACATGGAAAAGGAGTTCTTGTTCTCTAGCGTCCTTCATTTCTTTTAAAAATACAAATGCATTGCGCTTGCTTGGTATTAACTGAAATAGGACATTTTTAGACCAATTGAAAACAGACATAAAGTCTGTTCTGGAAAAAAAATCCTAAGAAGTAAGACTGCATTTTTGATATGCATGTAAATTGAAAGCATACTGGTTGAATTCACAACAGACATTGTATTTAAAGGTTGAAAGTAGTGCAAGAGACTGAAACGCACGCAATATCAAAATCTCTAGCAGTGGTCACCAACCCTAAATTAACCGCACCCAAGAGTAAAACATTACTAACCCATCACATAACCACAACAAATGCTTTAGATCAGGGGTCTCAAACTCGCGGCCCGCGGGCCAATTGCGGCCCTCGGGACGATATTTTGTGGCCCCCGCCTTCATATGAAAGTGTAATGTTAGTGCGGCCCGCGAGTTCTATATTGTAGCAACCTCGCTGTTAGCAGCCACTTACAACCTCCACCCCAGCGCCGACCGTTCCGTTCGCCGGTCTGACCGTCAGTGTCATCCCCCCCGTCGGCCATAATGGTCTGGCCCGCGTTCGGTCGAGGTGGGCTGCATCTGGCCCGTACCTGACTTGAGTTTGAGACCCCTGCTTTAGATGTAGCTGAGCTGCTTCACTGTACAAGTCCTACACGGTGTCATGTTTCAGGCATCCCCCTGCATTATAATAACCACTTAAATAAACAGCAGTTTTCTACACGTTTACGCAAACTTGTTTCTCTACGTTTGCACCAAATTGTGTACACAACAGTAATGTATTCTGTCACATGTAGTACATGTGGTATTTGTGCAGTGGAAAAGCCAGATTACTCCTTTTAAACTTCTGATGCTTGGATAGAAGCCTGTCCCATGTGACATGAGGGTTACTGACCACTGCAGAACACAATTTCAACCAACTACCCCAGATGGTTTCTCAGTAACATTCCTTCCAACCTTTTCTTCCGGCCCTCTGTAGTGACACAGAGGACCACAAGCCGCTCAGGGCAGCCGGACGCCGTCCAACGGACGGTGCGCCGCGATGAAAGCGACGACAGCCTGGTGGACTACGGGGAGGGCGGGACGGACAGTTCAACGAGGACGGCTCCTTCATCGGCCAGTACAGCGGCAAGAAAGAGAAAGACACCCACGAAGGCAACGAGAGTTCGGAGGCCCCGTCGCCCGTCAACGCCATGAACTCGTTTGTCTAAACGACGGGGGCCCGGCTGCGACTGTTGCTACGGCCGCCCCCTGTCGCCCTGGCAAGTGTGACCATCTCTGTGGTGACAGTTGCTACGGTGACGCGCCGGTCGCCGCGGGCACCTTGCTTCTACCACGGCGGCTGTCACTCTGGCGGCACCTCCCCATGGCTACCTGTCACCAGGACTGCTGCCACGCCCTCATCTCTACACCCGCAGGCCCCTGTCCCACTGTGACCTCTTCTCATGTGCACACACTCGGCGTCCCGTCCCCCCCCCTCTCCCAATAACCATCGAAGGAAAGTGTGATCCAAACGGTGTGAGAACTCCGAGAAGAGGGAAGGAGAGAGGAAAGCAATATAGAGAAGCAGAAGGAATGTACCAGAGATTTTTACCACTCAGACTGAGCAGAAGTGTGTATGTGTTAGTGCCATTTGATCTCCTTTCAAACATACTAAACACGGTGTGTCCAAATATATATTTTATCCAAGTACAGTATGTGACCCACAAATATGCATTGAATCGCCTTCATCTGCATGGAGTAAATCATGATTCTATTAAGCATTTTACCACCTTGGTGTTGCAGAGGTTAGCTGTGTGTTCAGACTGTACATGGTGCACGCCTACTAGCGACTGGGTATTCCTTTTTTATTTCAGTCAGTGTTAAATGGCGTATGATATATATATATAGAGGAAAATGGTCTTTGGCAGGGATGCTGCTGTGAAATGTGTGACTCAAAATAGAAGCGAGCATGTCTTTTCAGACAAATTATTGTTTTACATATGTACAAATACGTACGAAGCTCTATTTCAAGGTGGCGGTTATCCCTTTGTACTCATTGGAAACCTGGCTCAAAACACTTTGAACCAACAAGCAAGAACTCTTGCTGAACGTTTTAGTCTTATTGGCTTATTCCAATCCGCCTGATTTTAGCTACATGTTTTCGCAAGCTCCTCCCCAAATCTTTTCCTTTTACACCGAGCCTAAGCGTCCTGCTACTGAGCACCGACCGAACACAAGTGGGGGGCTGTGATCGACCCAGTGTCATTATGAAGTGCTTCCAACCCTGAATCTGCCACTGTGCAGGCTTTTCTCTTAAGACGATTGTCAGAGCGCCCAAACGTTGTCTCCAATGGCTCTTGTGTAATGGCAGAAAGAGAGGCGTTCGCAGACAATAATTGTACCCGAACAGCGTTAATTGTTAGACTTTATTTTCAGGATGTTAAGATTTTGGTGATTAAGAACCTCTCAGCACAGTTTCTAGTGCCTTTTGTAGTGAACAGTGACTTGGATCCACAGTTTGCATCCCTCTTCATAACCCGGACAGAGCTGGGATCAGTGCAGTGAGTGAAAAATGATTTTGCATATACAACCCCATTTTACTCAAAAGACAACTGGGAAACGCATTAAAGCTTTATCTTTTGTGACCTCAGTTTGTGAAGCATCCACGTGGGCTTGCTAACTAAAAATAGCCTCTTTGAGTCTCACTTTGGGGTCCACACAGGTGTGAGAGCTATTTCAAAAGAGGATTTCAAAGACAAATTCATGCTTATAGACTGGCATTAGCTGTGAGGAGTAATTTTCAGCCGTGGATTGTTATGGCCTTGTTGACAATCATACACCACGTTTTCATCAGCCGTGTGGTATTCGAACACACTACCATATCAAAGCATGCTGCAAGGGAAGAAAGAAAATGGGTGGAAAAGGTCAGTGCATGGGCACTTTGTGTATTCATGTCAAACATTCTCCTCCCTAACGTTCATCTTGAGGTGGAGCCCCGTGCTCCAGCAGCACTAAACTACTGCCAACCTACTCGCCAGGTAACTGCCAACGGGAGCCAGACGCAACATCTGGCCTGGACTGCTGTTCAGAACGAGACTTCCTGTCACTGGTAGCACTTAGAAATGAAAGGGGTCGGAAAATTGCGTTATGATACTGAATGTGGAAACAAGTGGGTCTGTTTTATGTGAATGAAAATAATGCTTGTTTCACTGCAAATGGTAAACACACTGGTGACTTTGGTTTATGCATTTAACTTAATATCTGTGTATGTTGTCTCGTTTAGAGACGCAGCACTCAGTGAAGTTTTTTTTTTATTCCTGTAAATGAATGAAGCTTGTGTGTGAATGTCTGGGTGCACAAATGTGTGCGTGTGCGCGCAGCACATGCATGCTACCATGTTAGAGCGTGCGTGATGTGTAACATCGCTTTTCCATGGATAACAGTCTTTAATTCGGATGTGTGTCTTCTCTCAACGGGAGATACAAGAGCTTTTTTTTTTTTTTCAGAAAACATTTCCACGACTTCGGTTCATCATAACTTGCATCAAGTTTTTACGTTGCGATGTGACACCTTTCCACATGTAGATATTTTTGTTGTATTTTGTAAATAACGGCTTGAATTTGAGGTCAGAGGGGAGAGCTTGACCTCAATTGGCCCCCACTGCATTATGGGTAGGAGCGGGTTGCGTGGGATGACACTCTTTACAGTTTTCACTCTTTCATTTGCTGTGAACTTTTGTTTTCTTGAACGTGTCAGGTGAATTTGCAAGCTCAAATGTTTAGCCTATCAGGTATCGGAGGAGATTATTTAAATTGTGACACCTGTATCGTTTCCCTTTCTGTTAGATCATGCACTTTTTCTTTTTTAAATAAAAAAGCCACACACTTAAACAGGATGTCATTTCAAACACATCTGTGCGACTAGTTCACAACTACGCGTGGCGTCTGAGCGCAGAACGCTGCAACACTGTTGTCCCAAAATAGAAACTGACACATCCTTTTTAAGAGTGGACGCCTAAAAAAACAAAAACAAAAAAAGCGTAATCTGGAGCATACGGGGGAGGGCCAAGCATGGACGGATACGCTGACTGGCATTTTAGAGTGTGAATTCCCTTGAAACAATGTTCTAGTGACTGGTGAACAGTAGAATATACAGGATATGATATAATATAACATTCTGGTCAATGTTGAAGCTAAATGAGAAGCATGAAAGGCTGTTGAAATGGTTTACTCTACATTATGATATTGCAAAAATATTTTGTATTTCAAATGAAGTTTAAAAAAATGAAATAAATGTTGGTTTCAGGATTTCAAATCAGTTCTGTCTTTTCTTCAAGATACTCCACCCGATTCGACATGCAAAGTGTGTATTTAGCTCCACCTAGTGTATGAAAATGGCATTGGTTATCTGAAAAATACCCGCACAATAATAAAGCACTAAAGTGTAATCCGTGCGGGATTAACAAACATCTGGTCTATTTGTGCTAGTGTGGCATCTTTCTTTTTATTCTAATACTGGAGTAGATGTTTTTCCATTTGAGTTGTTTTTTTCTCCCAAACAGACAACCAGTAAAAATATACAATTTAACTGCTATGAGGCACACAGAAATAATTTGTCAATTGGTCACTGATGTGCTTGGAATAGTAAGTGGATAAAGAGTCAAAAAATCAATACAATTTTAAAAGACAATGGAGGGCTTTTGCAAAAGTGGAGTAATAATCCCGTAACCAAACCTTTTTGATGATTAAATCCTATTCACTTGACTGAAACATTGGGTGTATAGTTTGGTGTGAGTAATTTATGATGCGAAGCACATGGCTTTAAATTAAAAAATAGACCACTGACGCTATTTGTCTTTTCAAATAAAAAAGCATTTCAATAATATCCCATGCAGTGCACGGTTTATCAAAAAACGGCCACTTTAAATAATTCCATTACCGACTTTATTCCTCTGCCTGGGATGCTGTGATGCGCACATCCCTCGCATCCCCCCTTTCCTCGTAGACCAATCGCTGTCCCCCAGAGGTGCCACTCAGCCGCTGTCCTCCAATAGAAAAGTTCAGATTGGACGGGACTCTCCGGGCGGGTGGGCTCTGGAGCGACGCGTTTCGGGACCAGGTGTGCCACGCCGACGGAGTACTGACATTTCGCGTTTCTGCCTCAAAGGTAAGAACGACACCACCCGCCAGTGTGCGTGTATCTCTCTATATATATGTGGGGGTGCGCATGACCTAGTCCGCTCTTGGCTATGTTCTGCGCCGTAGTGCTGAAATGGACCGGCATCGAAGTACCGCAATGCAGAGCGGTGAATTACCGGTTCCGCTCTGTCGTCAATGGGGTGCAAGTGATGCAAGGTGCTGCGCAGTTACTTTTGAAGAGGCTCGTGTTATTTTTCTTCTATTTTGTTTCTCGGACTGACTACATTGACGTGAGCACCGTTCGATAAAAGCTTGTCGGTTGCCTTTCACTTTGCAGTTAATGCAGATAAGAAAGTGCGGCTCCGTAGAGGAGACGCAAGGTGAAAAGTGTCAGATGCTGCATGCGTCAAGGGCGCAGCTCGCTGTGGGATGCGCCATGGCACAGTTTGTTATAGGCAAACTGGCCTTTATGGGTGCTGGGCTACTCCCTTTTGTTTCTGTACTGTACTGTCGTCAAAAAACAACAACTATATATATATACATTTATTTATTTTAATATTTTTATTTATTATGTTAAATATTTTTGGTTAGTTAAATATTACAGAATACTACATATGTTTATATATATATCCCAAGTACTTTTGGTAAAAAATGCTAAATGTGAGTCCAAGGGAAATTTAGCCACCCTGCTTATGCAAGGAGTAATTCTCTCTTCACATCTTCAACATGAGCCTCTATTTTTGAATATTCGAGGTTTTGTGACGCACAATCGTAATCCACAGTCATTACTCGAACACAACATAAACAGAATCCCACTTCAATCCACCCAGGAAACCTGAGATTAAAACCCCTCCTTGTTGTCTAAAAAATGACTTTGAATACGATTTTGTGCAGCCCTACACCGCAAAGCAAACATGGCCATTCAGGCAGCTGCTAAAACACTTGGCTTTAATACATGTGCTGACCTAAATATCGTATTGGTCAACCCAAAGAGGATCTGTGATGGGATTATCACCAGGGAAACGCTTGAGAACACACTCTGATGAATTGATCAGAATTAGCGGTGAAACAGATTGCTGAATACCGTTACAAAGCCGGTTGTGAAGTCTGCTTGTGCACTCGTTTGATTATTTTTTGCCTTGGTTGGACCTGTAATGCAGCACGATCCTTCTTTGGGCGCTTACTCCATCCGAAAGAAAACCGTACGATCACACAAAGCTGTGCACAATGCAGGGTAGATGGTGCAACTCGCTCTATACTGTTGTGGTACTAGTGTTGAGTCATCAAGAGAGCCCATGAGGAATCAGTGCTGCAGTCTCTGCATGTGGAAGGTCTCTCTCCCCCCTCTCTCCCCTCCTCTGTCTGCCTGGCTCTTTTTTCCCCAACCAGAATGACTCAGCAACGAACTCCGAGACTGTGTAGATGCCAGCAGACTGTAGGATGTACCTGCATCTGCTGTCAGATGTTGGCTATGCTCGCGATATTTGGCCCCCGACACGTTACCTGAAAGCACATGTGCACTTTCCTCAAAACCATATCACAATATGACATTTATTGTCCAAAATGTGAGATGTACACATCTTAACATGTATAAGGGAATATTGCTGTTATCCGTATTTCCTCCTGATGTACTGTCCCTGATCACATCCTGTTGGCCTGCGACCTTATAGGAAGATTATTATGAGATGAAGCCTGAGCTCTAAACTCACTATTTAAGTCCAAGGTCTGTGATGAATTTTGGAGTAAACATATTTCTCCAGCTAGTATATATATATAGATATCTCTCTATATCTGTATTGTGTAACTATAGAAGCAGTTTTTGAACTGAAGTCATCTGATCAATTTATTATCAGTTATTCGCAAAAGCAGAGGTTATAGAAAGTCAGGTTGTGAGTGATATAGTTAGATTATCTGCTGGCGAAATCAATGCTGTGTTAATGTCATGTTGGACAAGTGGACAACATGAGGGTTTGCCTCCTGCATCTGAATGATTGTGATGTATTAATCTACAATCAGACATCAACCGATTTAAGCAGATTGTGTACAAATGTTGGTGTACAATAGACCATGCCTGCAGACATCGCAGTGCATATTCTTGACCTAAATTCACACTGGCCAGCCTATAAACTATCTAAAAATACACTATTATTATTATTTAAAGCGTAAGCCAATAGAACTTTTTTGGTCCTAATGTAGGTTATTTCGTTACTGAACTCTGAACACTAATCTGAAATAATCTGGTGTCATTTTGTCCTTTTTCATCAGCAAATATATTGTGTAATGATTGGACAAAGAAAGCATATTTAACGAGGATCAGTCCCGTCATGGTCCGACACCCAATCCATTTAAAAATGTCTGTCTGTGCAGGAAGTGACACCGCCTGTGCATCCCTAACTGAATTGGTTGCATCAGCACTTGTTTGTGCGTATTGCACAAGCAATGCACAGAGATGACTGATGCCGTAACATGTAACATGATTTAAAAATGTGACGTTCTCCATCAGGAGCTTCATGCGTGTACGCGGTAGACGCATCCACCCCTCCCCCACTTCATCCCGTCCTGGTCATCTTCATCAATCCTGCTTTATATCTTCATTATCCTCTTTCAGCCTTTTCGCTCTCTCTCTCTCTCTCCCAGTACGTCCCGTCTGACAATGAGAGTCGAAACACTGTAGTGACTCACAGCACTGCTGCTCTTTCATCCTGCAGAAGCCATGTGTGAAGCAGGAACCTTCTAGGTGCTGCAGTGCTACCGTGTGTTAGTTCCTAGATGGCTCTTGCTTGTCAGCATGTGTGTAGTGTGTCACTGTGTGTTAGCTTGCACACACACACACAGTCTCTGCAGTTTTCTGCTGAGTCATTCCCACCCTGAATCATTTATATGAATGAGGATTCAAGCTTGTTCTTTCGCATGTTTCTGGTGTGGAAAAATCCTGCACAGTCATCAGCCCAGTATTATATCTGTAGGGTTGTGAACGTGTTTTTTCATTATACACAATAAGGGGAGACTGTTTATTGTTATGAAAATAAAGAGAGATTGTCTCTGACATCCTTTTTGTGTTTGTCTCTTATCCAGCCCTCTCCAGTTCATGTCCCGTCCGTTTAAATCTTGTTTGTGTCCCTCTGGCCATCCGTCGAAACTCACGCAGCTGCAATAACTCAATTGGATGACAGACATGGGCTGCGCTGCTTTACTGCTCCTGGCCCTCTCCTCTTCTGTCTCCCTAACTGGTAAGATGCACTGTGATGCCTGCAGATACACTGTTTACCCACTTAAAGGAAGTCGAGCGTAAACCCTGCACCATTAGCTTACTTGACCCCCATTTATGCCTTGCAGGGGCGGTTCTATTTGGCGAGCCTAGAATTTTTGGAGGTGAGTTCCTGGTAAACTGTTATGGAGAGTCGCGAGTGATGTTAAGTGAAGACGACAGCTAACTTGTCGCGGGAACATTTTGTCAGATGATGCGACCGGATATGGCCCCATCTTTGAGGAGGAGCCGGTGGACGTTGTCTACACTGAAGACTCACCAGATGGGAGGATCTCAATGAACTGCAGGGCACGAGCAAACCCACCTGCTTCATACAGGTGTGTGGAAGATGACGTATGTGTGGTATGCACGCCGGAAAAATGACGGAATGACATGCATCCAATTGTCATGCAATCACCCCTAGGTGGCGCCGGGATAACTGGGAGATCAAGCTGATGGAGCAGCCAGACGAGTTCTACAGCCTTGTTGGGGGGAACCTGGTTATCACAAACCCCAGGCAGAAGAAGCACGCCGGGACGTACGTCTGCGTGGCCAGGAACATCTACGGCACCGTCATCAGCAAGGAGGCCAGGGTCAAGTTCGGATGTGAGCACGTGAAACCTGCTGGTGCAGCGGCGCTGTGGTGCTCATGTGTAATGTTGTTCCCCTGCCCGGGTCTAGGTTTTGAAAAGATCACAGAGGACACAATTATCAATTGTAATTCCCGTTTCTTCTGTGTCCCTTATCCTGAAGTTGTGGAGGAGTTTCCTCAAGAGGAAAGGGACCCAGTGTACGTCAAAGAAGGGCAGGGGGCTGTTCTGCTGTGCGCACCTCCTAAAGTTTGGCCACGTACGTAGATGTCTTTCCTTTTCTTTTTGGAAAAGTCAATCTTCTGAAAATAACAACTCATTCAACTGTTTTTTCCTGTTTCA